CAGTTGCGCCACCCCCCCCCTCTCCCCCTTCGGCCCCTTTTTCCCCTTTGGGGCGGGCGATGCGCACTCGTACGGCTGCAGCCCAGAGTCCGGCGTGCCCCACACTCCCTCGCAGCGAGGGCATCGCACCTATGGACATGTCTCGGACGTGTGATGGACGTGCCTGGACACGGCCCGCCTCCCGGCGTGGCCAGCGCACGCGAGTGCGGAAGCAGTTCTCGTTCGAGCGCGCGAGCGGCTTGGGCGTCTTGCCCTTGCCCCTGCCGCCTCCAGCGTCCTGCACCGGCGGCGCCGTCAGCGTCTCGAAGGCGCGCACCAGCGCCTGGAACGCCTCCTTGGCGCCTGACAGACATCAGACAAGATGCGATTGTTTCGTCTTAGACCGGCATCTGGTAACCCCATCCTCTTTGCGCCCGCGAATCGACCGCCGAGCTTATCGGGGTGGAGCAGCCTAGCGGAGTTGGAGTGGGGTCCTGGAGTGGGGTGAGCTGCTGTGAGCTGCTCCCTGCAGAGGAGAAGCTCGTCGGGGTGCCTCGCAAGCCCGAGGTACGCCTTTGAAGAATAACATTCTTGTTATGATTGTTATCACTACTGCCTCGCAAGCCCGAGGTGCGCCTTTCGCTGCGTGGCATACGGAGAGTCGCAGCTGACGGCCACGCCTGCAGGCGCAGCGCGAGGCGCGAGGCTTAGCAGCGCAAGGGCGCCGCGCTCCCCGAGTGCAGGCAGCGACGGCACCGCACACGGAGAGCACGCCCTCCGGGTCGTTGCGCTTGCTCGCGGCCAGCACCGCCCGCGCCATCGCAACCGCCAGCCCCGGGTCGTACTCCTCCTCCTCCTCCTCCTCCTCGCCGCCACCGACGCTCTCCGAAGCGTTCGCCTTCGCCGGTGGCTTCCCCGCCGCCGCCCCCCGCCGCCTTGCGGCAAGCGGCCGGCCCTCCTCCGAGTCGGAGCCGGCGCCTCCCTCTGCGCCGCCCGCCCCTCCCTCGCCCCTCCCTCCCTCGCCAGCCTGCTGCGGGTCGCCTGGCGCGCGCTTCTTTGCGCGTGCGGCGAGTGGCCGCCCCTCCTCCTCGTCCGAGTCCTCCTCCGCCGGCGCCGACGCTCCTCCCGCCCCTGTCGGCGCCTCTGCTGGAGCCGCCTCTTCCGCCGCCGCCGCGTCGGCAGCCGCCCGCTCCTCAAACGGCCGGCGCTCATTGTCAGGGAGGGCGGCAAAGGCGGCCTCCATGATCTGAACCAGCTCTCGAGGGCCCACCGTTGGATTCGACTCCGCGGTCTGACTCCGACTTGCCCGCTTGTAATAGTAAAGCGCGTCCTTGCACAACGTCGTGCGCGGCGGCTGCGGCTGCTCCTGCTCCTGCGGCGCTGCAGCCGGCGGAATCTTGCCCACCACCCACGTCGGGCGGGTTCCGTTCATCTGCTCGGCCTGGACGACGCCGCCGGTGGGGTGGAGCGCCCACAGCACCTTGTTGACATCCTTGTGAGTCACTCGGACTGGATTGGGATCTCTCTGATTGGGACGCAGCGCCGAGTCGCCGTTGATGATGTCCGCCAGCTCCTGCTTGTCGAGCGGGCCCGTTGCCGCACGAAGGGCGGAGAGAACGCCGGCGGCGACGCCAGCGTCGTACGAGGCCATATCGGCGGCGACGCGTAGCGCGTAACCGCCGGGGCGGGCGCCTGGGATCTGAGCCCGAACCGGCACTGGCAACTGCAGACGACCTTCGCGCGCGATTCCCTGATATCTTACCTACCCGGGTACCGGGAAAGGCGAATGCGCACCCCCCCTAGCTAGGGGTCAGGGCTCTCTAGCCCGTAGCCCGATCCCGATCATCCGGCCCGCTGGATGCGCTTCTCAGCTCACCGGCCCTGGATGTGAGGTTACCGACTGCACTCCAAGTGCTCCAAGGCCTCGAACCCGTGAGCACTTGAGCACTGGATAGGGTCGATTCCACGTGGTACGGGACCCCTCAGAGCGCCTCTACAGCGCTCTACATCTGCGGCGGTCCGTCCCGCGGCGGATGTAGAGCTCTACAGCGCTACAGCGCTCTACAGCGCTCCACAGCGCTCTACAGCTCTACAGCTCTACAGCGCTCTACACTCTATCTACATCCTCTAACACACAGACACACTCAGCCAGCCGCCACACACCATCCCGAGTGAGCAACTC